GCGCCACATAGTGCTTCGCCTTACCTTTTGAGCGCTGGTGTGTTTCCATGAAATAGCACGTCCGCGCGAGAAAAAACCGTGAAGCACACAACAGTGTGCTCTGATTAGGTACAATAAACACAGTCGGCACGCGGGTGCGGGAGGGTCTGAGCGGGGCATGGGGTTTTTCCTCGAGGGGGCAGTTTTATCGGCACCGGCCCGAACCCAGTCTTCCCGCAGCGGAGACAACAACAGCAATGCAGCAGCAGCAGCAGCAACAGAAACAAGAAGAACAGACACAACAGTGCCAAGACCAGCAGCCCACAGCAGCAGCGATGGCGACGGCGACGTCGACGGCGTCAGGGGCCGTGTCCGGGGGCGAGGTGGATGTTTCGACGGACGCGGAGGTGGGGTCATCGTCATCGTCATCGTTCTCCTCGTGCTCCGACAGCGACGACGGCGACGCCGGCGACGACATCGACTTCCTGTTCGCCGAGCTCATGGCCGAGGACATCCCGGAGGCGGTGGCGGCGGCGGCGGCGGCGGCGGTAGAAGCCACCACCACCGCTGACCAGGAGCTCCTCCTGTACCTGGGCGGCGGGGACGGCGGGCACGCTCCCGTGTCGGCGGTGACCGACATGGGCTGCGTACGCGCGATTTGATATCAGTGAACCTGCCTGAATCCCGTCAACCCCCCCCCCTCCCCCCCCCCCCCACCCTAGAGATTTGTGTTAAGTTAAGGTAGGAAAACAAAGCTGTGACGCGAGATGCGGAGGAAAGGGGTGCCCTCGGTAGTGTTAAGTTTTGTCAGTGGTGTGGGATTTGTATATTTTTTTAGCTTATTTTACCGCGACGGCGAGTGGCGTGATTACGCGGTTTAATTACAGGGGGGGGGGCGGGCGGGGCACCCATGTTCGCAGTCTACCATTAGCCGAATTGATAGTGCAGCAGTGCCGAACTCTCGTCGCGTTGTTTCGGTTGGTAGTGTAGTCTAGACCGGGCGGACCGATTTCGTACACTCAATCGGCTGCTGCTGTGCTTGAGCTTTCTGGTCTGGGAACGTGGATACCGTAGCCAACCGTACAACCAGTTGTCGTGCGAACGTGGTATTGTTTGTGTATAGCAGTCGCCGATGGGTGTGACACGGTGGGTGGTTGTTTCTTGTCTGTACTGGTTTGCACTCTATAGACTCATGCATGTAGGGTACGAAAAAGTTGTGCGTTCGGGCGGGTGACGCCGAGTGTGAACAGTGTCTCTTTTCTTTTTTACGTGTGAAACTTGAAATGATGAAGAGACACAGGCATATGCATACGTTCGTGCAACTAACATAGATGCCTAAAATCCATGCAGCCGTAAGTGGTAAGGGGGGGTATCTGTCTTTGTAAATGGATCAAACTTTCTTGGGTCATTTGCACCATGTATGGAAGTGCTTCCGTCGTCATATTACGTCGACGGTGGCGCTTGGTCTCTTGTATGTTTATGTACGAGAGACGAGAGTTTTGAAAGAAAAAATAGGGGGAACTTTGCTATTTGTTGGGGTAGCGGCAGCGAGTCAGGGACTATTTTGCCGTTGCTCGCTGGTAGCGGCGTTGAGGGGTTGTTGTGTTTATCTTTCCTTTCCTTTGGGAAGATGGTGGATCTCGAGAGCGTCTCTCTTCCCGAATATTCCCTCCTGTACGGAGAGGAGTAGACGGGTGGATACGTTGCCTATATTGTGCGATTTTGAGTGTGGGAGAGGCAGAGAGGAAGGGCGACAGAGCTTGCAACCTTGTGCAAGGAGAAACGAAGATGAAAAGGATAAAAAACGAAAAAACATGAATGACCAATCACTGCTGTTGGTTTTTTCCATGCTGTTGGCTCTCTTCATTCGTGGGCAAAACTGCTGTGTTTGGAAGCAACAAGCAAGCAACCGCGGAGAATCCCGGTTGACGAGTCTCTCGTGCAGCTGGCTGACTCTTAAGCTGCTGCCGTCACGTCCAATTGTAATTAATTGCTGTATGCATTTGACGTGACGTGTTATACATTACATACATGTGCTTCAGCTGGGTGTTCTTCCGCCCATGCCGTCGCTCGCTCGTTCGTTCGTAGCAAAGCGCTGTGTCATTCATGAAAGACACAGAAAAGAGTCGCTGCCCTTGCATCTAAGCGCAGCCAGTCAGTCGTAGCGATAGCATGCATTGCTTCACGCCCAACCAGAGTGAGCAATGTTTCGTTGCACACAACGTTCTCGCCGTGCAGTTTGCCGCGGCAATGTTTTCGTGTCAACACGCGCTCACTTCCGGCGCTGGTTCAACCCTTCGCCGCAAGAGCTGCTGCCGTTTCGTCGTGGTTTATTTACCCCCTCTTTTTCCATTAAACGTCCATGAAGAAAAAACGAACATCTCTCACTTCTTGAAAGTACCTCCACAAAGCTATGTATATTTTATGTATTGTTACGACGGCGGAGAAAAACAACGTCGCCCCCAAGAGGACTGCCTAGTACACCCCGACATAACCCACTACAGCACCAACACTGTGATCGATCTCGGCAACACTTCCGTGTTCTATGCATCTATTTGTTGATTGCCTAGACCGTCACCGCTACTACCAGCTCACTTTTTCAATCGACGCCTCGAAAGAGAAGAAAACAACAATGACAAACAACGCGGCGTTGGCATGAGTGCACCATATTTCTATGCAGAGCGAGCGGTGATTGCACGACAACGGAAGGGAAGAACCATACAAAACTGTTTGCGATGACACGCACGTACTGCATGCTACAAGAGCATCAAGCACGAAAAGAACTACAAAAAGAGCAGTATGTACGAACGATGACGCACAACACATACGGCGGCAACCTAGATAGCATTTGCAACCAAGGCACGCTGCAGCCAGACATATTACACGCAGCTCTGGAAGAGCAGGCATACATCTCTTTTAATACTCACTGCGTCTTGCGATACGCTAGCCCCTCCCACAGCCCCCCTCACTTACCCACTCAATACGACAAAACACCGAAAAAAGCACGACTACAAGTAACACATAAAAAGTGAAAAACGTGTAAATGGTACACAAAAATTCTCAAAAAGTATATGTAGAGCTGCAGAGCACCGAATGATTTTGTTTTGTTTTGTCTGCAGCCCCCAGCTCCCCTGTGCCGGACGAACTTCCCCACATCAAGTGTTGTCAGCTGTCATCGCTTCACACGAGCGGCTTACGCAATACGACAAAACACCGAAAAAAGCACGACTACAAGTACACATAAAAAAACTGAAAAAACGTGAAAACGTTTGGAAGAACGGTACACAAAAATTCTCAAAAAGTACATGTAGAGCTGCAGAGCACCGACTATTTTTGTTTTGTTTTGTCTGCATCCCCTAGCTCCGCTGTGCCGGATGAACTTCCCCACATCAAGTGTTGTCAGCTGTCATCGTGCTTCACACGAGCGGCTTACCTACAAAAAATCTCACCGTCGTCCACCAACCCCCCAAACCCCGCCGGAGCACTATCGTACTCCCTTTCCCTTTCACATTGCCACACAGCACCGCTCTCAACGAACAATCCAGGGCGACACTCCCTTTCACTTCTAAACGTGCCCGCGGATCACCAGCTCTAACCACTCGAGAGGCGGTGCCGACACACAAAAATCCGCAAGGTATCGCATGGACAAACAAGACAGCGAAACGTGCAAAAAAACAAAAAACGGACACTTGTAAACTGTGAGCCCATAATGACGAAACCAAGCATCATCACGCACGAGTGCTAAACGCACTGCAATGAAAAAACAAAGACGAACACCAACACGTCAACACCAAACACGTGGTAGTGGCTTCGCGGTGTTCCGTCTACAACGACGGGTACGGTATACCGGCGGGGTACCACACTGAATCAAATCAAAGCCTCTACACGACAAAAAGTCGCAAGTCGAGCCAGGGACATGTTGCGCATACATGCATGCGCGCTGCCAGACGACAACAATCTTTCGTTCGCACAGAACCGAGAGGCGGTAGCCTCCTTCGCCATCCTTCCCGTCACCAAAGTCCGACTCAAACGTCAGTCAACTGGGTACAGGAAGTATTGTAGGGAAGGATGGCACGGCACGACAAGATGCCCGGAGAAAGGGGAGGGGGGGTCCAAAACCGGCATGCATCAGAGGGCTCCCCACTTCTACCTACACACACGAACATTTTGCCACATTTTTTTCCCTCGCCCACAGCCATCTATCTCGCTCTCTCCACCGCCGATCAAAGACCAAAACAGACAACAAAACCGGCTACTCCTGCAAGTTGGTAACAATAATCGCACCATAGCACGACACGGCAGAGGAGAGGGGAGTGAACAACAAGCGCGCACACAAGTCTAGTTTTTTCGACACGCGTTTTGAGGTGCCGCCAACTGTTACATCTCTCCGTCTTCACCTGCCGCACAGAGAACTAGCCATACCTCCTTCTTCTATCAGCAATAATTCTTCTACAGCTGCTGCAGCCACGAGTTCTGCAGCACCTCCCGGGCGGACGGCCTGTCCTCGGGGTTTCTAGAGAGCATCCGGCGGATGAGGGTCGCCGCCTTCGGCTCCACCCCGTCCCAGTCCGGCTCCGAGTGCAGGATGCTCTCGGTGATCTCCTCGTCGTCGGCCTCGCTGGTGGGGTCGAACGGGTGGTGCCCGACGACCAACACGTACGCGATCACCCCCAGCGACCACATGTCCGCCTTCTGGTCCACCTCCGCGCTGTTCTCCACGACCTCCGGCGCACTGTACGCGATCGTGTACTCCTTCATCCTCTTGTGGCCTCTGCCGCCCCTCAAGCGAAAGCTAGACCCGAAATCCGCCAGCAGCACCTTCCCGACACTCCCCCCCGCCTCTCCCGCCCCTTGTTCTTTTTGCGCTACCGCTGCCTCTTCCGATATTTGGTTATCCCCAGCGCGACGACTGTCATCTCCTGAGCCGGTTGCTGCCGCCGTCAAGAGCATGTTCTCCGGCTTGACGTCGCCGTGGACGATGGAATGCTCGTGGAGGAAGGCGATCGCCTCGGCCGTGTCTCGGAGGAGAGATCGGACATCGCCGTCGTCGAGGGCAAGCCCTTCGGTCGTAAGGCGGTCAAACAGCTCTCCCCCCTCGGCCAGCTCCATCACCAGGTACCAGCAGTCCTCGTCCGCGTATACCCCCTGTCGTGCGTGGCGTTTCGACAGGAGGGTCGTTTGTCTTGTTGTTGTTGCGTTCGAGGGTGACGTTTTTGCGTGTGGTGTTGCACGCTCCGTGCGATTGATTCGAACGTCTCTCGGGGGGGGAAATAACTCACAAGCTTTACCACCTACACAAGTACGGGAGAGCTGGCATTGATATTCCAGTGAGGTCCAATTGTACCGGTATCGGTAGTTCGTACTCTCTCTCTCTCTCTCTCTCTCTCTCTCTCTCTCTCTCTCTCTCTCTCTCTCTCTCGGTGTCTTCTCTATCGTTCTCCGTCCTTCCTGAGGCTGTTCTTGGTGCTGCTCGGTAAACTCATTTAGCACTGCTCACCTTGACGCCAACCACGTTGGGATGGCTGGCCACCTCTCGGTGCACGTCGGTCTCTTCTCGGAAGTGGGACTCCGACGCCTCGCTTCGTGGCACGCACTTGACGGCCACCACCTCTCCCGTGGCTTTGTCCGTTGCCGTCGTTACCGTGCCGAACTGCCCTCGGCCCAACGTCTCGTCGCTCCTGACTGTGTAAAACTAAAATAGATGCAACGGACCAGGTTCACCACACGAAAGAGCGAGCAGAGGCGGACAAGGTGGGACGGTAGAGAATAAGCCCTCGCGTTGCGAGGTTGTGGTTTGACATTAACATTGTCGTCCAGCAGCGCAGGCCTTTGGCGCAAAACTCGCTCAGGTTGTGTTGATGAATAGCAAGTGGATTCATGTGTTTGTGTGCCGTTGGATATTATGCCTGCGTGCAGCCACCCGAAACAACATGTAACGTGATAGCGGTGCTTGGCTCTGTCCGTGTACAAATCGCTCCGTGAATCGACAGCAGTGGTACACATGTCCACAGGGGTGAGGCGATAGAAGGGTACCACGTTATAGTGATGGGTATTATCTCAGGCTAATTTGTGCACCAGCGTCTATTCGTAAAATACCTTTATTGTGCCTCTCAAAACTTTGCCCGTCAGGTACGAGTACGGGATAAACTACAGCAGTAGGGATGTAGGGATGAATTTATACAGCCAGTGGCGATATCGGACGCACTACCTGCTTGTGTTTCCACGATTCCCCGAGCAGCATATTGTAGAGATAGTCCGCACTTGGAACTTGGCCGTGAAGAAATCCATGCTTGATGCTCAACATTCAACATTACATCAAAATAAGAATAATAAGAACTCGAGCACTATTTTGTGAGCCCGGTTGAGAACCCTACACTAAAACATAGTAGTACATTTAGAGCCAGTCCACTAGAGGAACTAAGAATCCCATCCCAGTAACTAAGAACCCCCGCACGGCCAAAACTAGATATGTACATAAGAATCAAATATGTATCTCCCTTGTGGGCAGCGGGCTCGACAGTTGGGTTCTGTCTTAAGCTGGGAAGGTGTACCAGTAGACGGAAGATGGTGGGATGTGGTTGGGTGTTCGGGGTGTTCGAAATGTTAAGGGCGCACTGGGGATCGCAGCACCTCCTCTGAAATATCCAGGAAATGCCTGCATATCTCGGTGTTTCAAAGTCTAACTTCAGTACGAAACTTCCATCGCAAATTAACCGTCCGCTGACCCCCCCTCGTTGACAATGTTGGTAGCTGAGATTGTAGCCCTTGCGATACACTTACAAGACTAGCGGTCCGCGATTTTCCACACGATCCTTCTATCATCGAGTTCGGTGAGCTACAAGCTAGTTTTGAAGCTGTTGTGCGGTCCAATTTTGAAACGCTTCAAGCACCTTTGCTTAAGGCTAGACATGCATATACATGACCCCAGGCATTCAAATCGACAATGGCGACCAGCTGGATATGTGAGGGAAGAGCTGCGCTGAAGTTCGCGGCCCCATACACTCACATAGGCGGTGATTCGTGTTCACCATATCTTGAAGCGTTTCAAAATTGGACCGCACAGCAGCTTCAAAAATCAAAAATCTAGCTTGTAGATCACCGAACTCGATGATAGAAGGGTCGTTTGGAAAATCGCGGACCGCTAGTCTGTAGTGTATCGCAAGGGCTACAACCTCAGCTACTAACATTGTACACGAGGGGGGGGTCGGCCGACGGTTAATTTGCGATGGGAAGCTTAAGTTTCGTACTGAAGTTAGACTTTGAAAAACCGAGATATGCAGGCGTTTCCAGGCGTTTCCTGTTTTTTTCAAGAGCAAGTACTGCGATCCCCAGCGGCCTTCATGCTACATGCGCCCTCCGTGTAAGCATATCGCAGAGAATAACCGCGCGCAGGCCGTCGTAAGATTGAACCTCGCAACTACCGGACCCCAAAATCCAAAATCCTTCCTTCACTCGATTGCCCCAGCATGGTGGTGCACTCCATACTTTTGATCTTGATCGTTCTTCAGCAGTGCCGGTACTGGCACTAAGCACTACAGTACTATTCGTGGCCAATCGTAAAAGAGTGCCGGGTGCCCGGTATAGTGCCCGTAAATCTGGCGCGCCATCACTACTGAGGGACCACGGTATAGGTGCAGCCGTCGGAAGGATCCAACGCCCCCAGAGGGCGTGCAACGCGGTATCTCTCCGATACCTCCAACAAATGAATATGGACTGCTGTCGCCGTGTAAGTGTGTGTTGGTCGACAGGTGATACAGAGGCCGCTCCCCCCGTGTCGACGTATCGACACCGCGGGAGGAGGAGAGAGGTCACACGAGACGTCAGAACGTCAGACTCGCCGAGGAAATAAAGGGTTCAAATGTTCTTCGCAATTTCGTTGCATATACATACGTACATGGCAATACGCACATGGACGCACTTCGACCGTCTCCCGACTTTCCTCCCAACTTTTCCGAGAGAAAGTCAGAGTTCTCACCTCGTCTATACTGCGTAATGGCCACACGGCACTGGCAGAGGAGGTTTGCTGCTGAAGCTTCTCCAACAAGCGCGACGGGAGCTCGTCGTCGAAGCTGTAGCCGGACAGGATCACGAGGCCGAGCGACGCCAGCAGACCGAACCCGACGTAGGGCTCGTGGTCGTGGTGCCTTAACAAGCTCATCGATGCCAACTGCCTCCGAGATCCTCCCCCTGCTCCCCTTCCCCCTCCGGCAGGCGCAGCCCCAGGGAAAGCGCGCGACCCGGCCTTGTGGAGAGCACGCCGCAATCCCGCCCCTCGAAACGGAGCCCGGGCGGCGGTGTTCATGGCTGCTGGAAGAACGAAGATTGGCGCGTTGGCAGCCGTTTGATTTCAGGCTCCAAAACAGCCGCCGCAGCCGCTCCAACTCCGAGAGATGTGTGATTCGATGTGCACAAGCACAGCAGCGTGACGACGAGTCGGTTCCACGACCAACCTCTCCTCACCGACACACACGTGTACCCGGGTATGCGGCGGCTAGCACGTTTGGGTTGTGGCCGTGTTCGGTGTTGGGTGTTGGATGGGTGAAGGTCGGGGGTTGATCGATCACGGCGGGTGAACCACTGAACCGCGGAACTCTCAGAACTCTCACGTTTTTTTTTTTTTCGAACAGACGGCAGGGTTTCCCATTTTCCTTGTTTCCACCCAGAGGGCAACGTACGTCACATAGCGTATGAAACCGTCAAATGACAGTCGTCGGCCGACCGCCGACGGGAAACCGCGCACAAAGATTAGGCTCGCGGGTGGGTGTGTCTCGCGTGAGGGAGAAAAGCATGTCGGCTAATGTGGGGAACCAACAGAGACAAATCAACACACACGTACGTACCACCATGTGCACAGCGTTTACGCGCAATGAATGGTACGACGACGGCATGCCTCGACATGTCTATGCATTTTCTCTGGTGTTCGAGCGGAGGGAGGTCTCACATCTCACACGATGAATGAAGACCACAGCAAGGTATCTACTATCTACCGTTACAATCTGCTGTTGTGTATTCTACAATAATAACCAAAAAATTGTAGAAGTAACGGACACATGGACCAACCCCGGCTCTAACACGTGACCAACCCGGCCCGGCATGCGCGCAAGAGAGCAGAGACAGCAGTGCAGGATGGAGCCGATGCACATCGAGATATTTGTCTATGCCGCCTTTCTTAATTCGGAGGTGCTCTCCCTACTCTCTTGGTTGTGTTGCGCTGTTTTTGGTTCGCAGCAAATATATTTAGGTTGTACACAAGGAGATGAACCTCTACCGTGTGCAACTTTCTGGTTTGGTTCGCATTCTCATGTAATATGTGTTGGTGTGCTCAAATCCTCAAGTGACTGACAGGCTCATTTATACGTTCATTTTGGGATACTCTAGCAGCAGTGTTGTTGAAGGTATCCGACACTTTTTTTCCGTCTGTCCTCGAAGACTGACTCTCTGCTTCGAGAGTGTTGCAGAATCTTATATCTGTGCAAACAAAGGAAGGAATTGAACTCCGCCAGAGCGATGCCAAGTCGCAATGGCTCAGCTACATACACAATCCACGCGGACATACATGACGGTCTAAAAAATGGTGCGGAGTAGCTTAGGCCCGATCTTATAGTCGCGTGCACCCTCTCCTACGCTGTAGCGCCCGACAAGGACTCAACCTCATCTATCTATGGCTCTCTCCAGCACCACCACACGCACGGAAACGTGGAATAATGATAGCCGGGGTTCGAACTCCCAACCTACCTGTAGATGACTGACATTGTTCGAGGTTACCGCGTACCAAGACCACATACAAAGATACGGCTCGCTTTCTCGTGCAACAGAGAAAGACCAAAACTTAGGCTCGTTTGGCATCGGGAAAACCAAACCGCAGAGAGACAACGCCACACCCATCGGGTCCGGACCGTCGCCTCAAATATGTTAACATGTAATCTGTCAACATGCTCTCTTGCTACATTGCAATCTACTATGGTCATCGCAGAGGGTATGCGTTTTGTGGCCACACGCTAACTACGCCAACAGAGGTACCCATAAATAGCAAGACAAGAGTAGAAATCAAAGTACTAATGAACAAGGCGTCTCTACACGTAGACTAAACTTCAGAGTAACACCACTTCCAAGTGGGTTAAATATCCCCTCCCTGTGCCCGCCAGACACACCCCAAACTGCTTACTGCCAACAAAATACTTGCACATCGAAACCATAGAATAATCCCGAGTCCTACCGCCCTCTTCTTTGCATGCGTTTACACAGCCTTATCTTGAGAAGCCAGCCACTGACTTAACTCAAGAACACCCAACCAACTGCTATCGTTCGCACACGCCAACGCCGCAAACCGACGCAGAGAGACGGAAACCTATTAATAGTGTACCGCAGAGGTGGGAGAGGTTGCCAGCGCGTAGCTCTAGCCTACCACGTGCACTTCTTCGTGAGTACACAAACGTAGTGTTGCACTTCACGGCGACAAGGGGAAGGATCGCTCAACCTCTCTCGGGCGGTAAGCCCCGCAGAGAGGTTCTTCTGCGTGGCCCCCTTCTGGTTCGCCAAATAAACATGCGGTAGACCCGGGTTTCCACGCCATTCGGAGACGGCATTCAACGCACATCAATGAACACAGCAGCAGTGGTAACACTACCGACCCTGCAACCAGAAATAGAGGAAAAAACGATGAGAATTTCTTGCCTCTGGCGATGCCCGCCCTCCTGGAGAAAGATCAACCCCGACTCGACGACATCATGGCATCTCGCCGACGCTGCGCTACTCCGCAGGGCGACCTCAACGAACGGTGTTTTTACGGAAACAACGACTACACCACCACCGCCGTGTACGCACTCCCACAAGACACTCAGAGTCGCCGCATGAACATTGTCAGTCTGCTTGCCTTCCTGCCTTCCCAGAAGTGGAAGAAATGAAGGAAGGCAGCCGCGGCCGGAAACTCCAAGACCGAATATTTACCAGCTAAAAAACACGCACGGAAAAAAATGCTCCAACTCGACCTCAACACACATGAAACAGAACTTAGGTTTCGCGAGGAAAAAGCAGAAGAGAGGAGAAAGGTGTGGTGTGATGGTGACAAACTAAAACTACGAACACCCGGCGTATGGACGACACGACCTGAAAAAACAGCACAAAATTTTAGGCAAATGGCCTCGATATATTGCACAACAAAACAATCACAGCCCCTTCGACCGCAGCAAGCACCAGACTTGCACCACCTTCCCAGCCCGGGAGGCTGTTGCTGCTACTTCTCGAACACCGTATTGCACCCGTTTGTTTCGTTCAAATCGCCCAATGCCCCGGTTAAAACGTTTCCACGCAAACAACAAAAACAACAGCAACACAAGAAAAAAAAAAAAATGTAATTTAGCTGCTACTACTGCTGTACAGACCAAATACCATTGATCTTTTGTCCGCCCCACCCGACGCGGTCCGCAGGATCGAACAACGACAACAACGAACGCCGCTTGATTGCTTATTGGATGAGGCTAAGTGCGAACGTGAGGAGCAGGTTGAAGAACCCGCTGAAGTACACGAGGAGAAGGATGCTGATCACGCAGCAGCACACGCACGCGATCTTGGCGCAGATCTTCGGCCCGAAGAGCTCCGACCCCATCACGAAGGGGTTCAGGCTGAACCGCAGGCGCCCCGCCGGCGGTGGCAGGAAGGGCTGGCTGTTGGGGTCGTTCCGGCCGTTGCCGACTGGCTGCAGCTCCGCCTTCTCGATGGGCCAAATCTGGACGCCCATCAAGCACTTGCCCATTTGTTCCTGTGCGTGCGCGGGACCGGGGTGTGTGTGTGTACGCGGCGGGGGGTTGGTTGGGTGGGTGTGTACTGGTGTCGGGTGCGGTGTGTGTGTTTGTGTCTTCATTATTAGCATCGAGCGCGCTAACAGGCTGACCAACGAAAATACGTCAGTCTCAGTGCGGTTGGTCGAAAACACAAAATGCCTCTCAAGGCCATGATCTGGGGACCCCGTGAGGGGGAGTCATGGTGTACGTGTGCGCGTTGTGTGCGTGCGCGAGCAGGACACAGGAAGACAAAAGAAGAGGAGAAGAGAGGAGAGGACAGGAGAGGGGAAAACGAGGGGGGAAGAAGAACAAGAATGACCCAACATCAACATCCATGCCGAAAAGGAAAGAAACGACGATAGAAAAAAAGCCTCTCAGCCAAAAAAAAGAGAAAAAAGAGGACCAAGCTGTTTTTCGCTTCCATAACACGAGAGGATGCCGAAAAGGAGGGCAAGAATCACGTGTGTGCACATGCAAGGGGGGGGGAGTCCGTCTCAAGACTCAATACCACATTGATCCATCAAGTGCACGTCATAGTCATAATGAATCCGCACCCGTAGGTGAAAGCTATGATCGGCCAAAGCAAAACCCAACTGGGGCACCAGACGGAGACAAGAACAAGAACAACAGCAGTAGCACTGATGAAAAAAAGCTGCACCGCGCACACGCCGATACACCATTCAACCCACCAAAAATACCCACTTCAACTTCACTAGAACTCAACCTAGACCTCATGCTGCGGCGTTTCTCAACAACAAGAAAAACAAGCTCAGCCATCACTCAGCACCAACACTAAAACATGCGACAAACGAGCCCGCTCGTACTGATACTCACTTTCTGGCCAGTCTCGTAGTTGGTCCTCTCCATGTTGAGCCAATAGCTCTGATGAAAAGGTTTGGAGAGGGGGGAGGGAGGGAGGGAGGAGGTGTGGGGGCGGTAGTCGTTTGTTACTACTAGTACTTGCTGTTGGGTCCTGTCACCATTAACCACGCATCCCGTTCAGAACGAAAAAACGGGTCTTGCTCTACATAGAGACACCAGCAGTAGCAGTCACGGGGGGGTGGGTGTTTCATGCTTTGACGTGGGCTTTCTCGCTGATATCGTTCCTGTCCTTCATGGTGGTTTGCTGATGGTGCTGTGGGGCCACCACTGTGTCCAAGTGAGACGCAACCATTGGTGCGCAAACAAAAGTGCCATCTCCACCTAGCGAGGGAAGCCTAGCCTGTGCCTTTTACTTCAGACATACGAAACAGAAATCGAAAATTTGCGGTGTTTTCGTAAGAACAATGTGCAAAAAAAACGTTCCTCTATTATTCTTTTCTTCTTTTCTTGCCTCGTCCGGGTCGTCGTCCCACAGCCCCGTCATGTTCTTGATCGTGTTCACGAACGCCTTGGCGTCGGCCTTGGCCTCCTCGTCCTCGTCCGACGAGTCCCCCGGCTCCACACGGGCGGCCACGCTCTTCCCAGGGCAACAGCACTTGCAGATCAAAGCGCAGCAGCCTTTCTTCTTCTTCTTCTTCCTCCTCCTTTCCCGGACTACGCCGCCGTTGGCAGCAGGAGCGACGCCGTTGACCCTCTGCTGGTCTGGAACAGGGCTCCCCTGAAAAGCAGTCATGGAAGGGGGGGGGGAGGTTGTTGCAGTGCCTCACGCCACAGGGTGCGTCTCATACGAGGTCGACCCACGTCTACAGCAGTACAGCACGCCACCTCCGTATTTTACAGTGTACCTTGCATAATACCATCACAAAGGTATCTCCTCTAAAGCCACAAGCAAGGAAAATACAGGGAGCCAACACACCCTGTCTTATCGTCTGCTCGCTCATACACTCTTCACGATCGAACACACAAAACAAAAACATGAAAAGGAAAAAAGAAACAGAGAGAAAACAGGACGCATTGCTGTCAAATCCCATCGCCGCTCCCTGCGTCTCACCCTTCTCGTGTGATGTCAATTCTAACATATTTTCCTATGTTTTTGTTTCTTTTTTCGTTCTCACCTCGTACAGGTTGTTTACGCCGCTGACGATCTCCGACCCGTTCGAGGTAACGTTGTTGTTCCCGCCCCCGAGCCGCATCTGGCTGTTGTACGCGGGGGGCGGCGGCCTCTCCCCCCTCTCCGGGTCGTACGCCGCGGGGCCGCTCTCGAGTTGCGCCAAGAGGCGCTCCTTCGAGGTGTCGTTCCCCTCCAGCGCGGCATCCACGTCCATGTTCCCCACCTGCGGAGAGAGGAAGGACACCGCCCGGCCGATGAAGGAAGGAAAGAAAGAAGGAAGGAACAGACAGACCATCAAACGAAAGAAAAAAATAAAAAAAAAGTTAGCCCCCGCCGTCCTGTACGCAGTCATCAAACGATCTACGGCCCACATTTTTGTGTGTGCTGCTGCTATAATAACAGAAACAACAAAAAACATGCAGACGGGGGTAAACAATATCGCCACACACACACACACACCTCAAGCCGGGAACAAAATCAGCGTTTCGCAGAAGCAGTGGACGAACGCAAGTGTTCCGGACACAAAGCCATTGTTGTCAGTAAAAACGGAGGCGGTATTGTTTCCGCGGCAAACAAAAAACAGACACCTTTAGTTTCCGTCATTTCCGACGATGACGCTTCCAGATCTACTGTACACGCTACCGGTGATCCATTTTAGTTATTCCCGCAACGGACCGGTACAGATGCTAGCAGGTACAGAGGAGAGACCGAAACGGTTTTTCAATGTCAAGACAACAACAACAACGGCAACAACAACAACAACAACAACAACAACAAGCATTTTGCAACGGCAACAACAATAGACCCATTCCGGGTGTATAGACGTATGCTTACATCCGCCTCTCGCATGGCCTCTAGCTTGGGGTCGATGGTGGGGAAGAGCTTGACGGTTTCAGAGCTCTTGTAAGCCTTGATGAAGTACGGACCGAGGTCCAGCTGGCCCTCGGCGATGTGGTCGTTGAACTTGAACAAGTCTCGGTCCCACAGCTGGACCACGACGGAAATAAGAGAAAAGAAAGAGGTGTGGTATGGGTTACGGGGGGGAGCGGCTAGAGAGAGAATCAATGAAACATGGGACTGGGAGTGCGGCGGTCAGAGATCGAGGTAAAATGCTGGACGCACGCGTACGGCAGAAGGAGACAGAGAAGGACAGAGAGAGGATGATGTGGGTGAGTGCAGAGAGATTCCAACAGTTCTCTGCATGGAGAAAAATAAATCGTAGCATCATGACATCATGACGACAACCCCGGTGTACCGCATCCCTACAGCGCTACGGGTACTGCTGTATTTACCGCGAGAGCGAGGTAGACGGGAAGGGGTAGAGGAAGAAGCGCAAACAAAGAATGGAGGTCGTTTACTGTTGTAGTCTATTTGCTCCACGGCCAGTTTCACAACAGCCACTGGAGCACGCTCCAGTGGGGAGCGGTGGAAATCGGAGGTACTAAAATATTACTTACTGGTGTAGATCGAGAGCCAGCAGTCGCCCAAGCAGACCAATACAAGAAGTAGCATGGGCTCCCAGAAATACGATAGTCAGCCTCCGGCAGACAGCGTCAATCAAGAGGTAACGTCAAGCTTGCTCTACGACAGTATCAGTTGTTCAAACATGTTGCGTACGTGCTCAATCGACACCGAACAACATGACGTGGCCTCAACACGCCCAAAACAGCAGAGAAACCCATCCAACCCACAACCTCAACGGCAGTCCCGCCCGGTGCTGCTGCAGAGTGACGAAAGCGTCAGGGGCAGGCAGGGAGGCAGCGACCGCTTTTCACACAAAGTGCGAGCGACGTCACCACCAAAATCAACAAAGACAAAACGAAAATCAAACCCGCCGCAAAACCCGGGCAAAAAATATGGCAAACAAAATATGGGGCGAACCAAAATCACCTGCACGGTCAGGTACGGGAACTTCCACGCCCTTGTGCGGGGGCCGAGCGAGACCTTGAACTTCATCCGCCAGTTGAAAGAGCCCTTGCCCTTCTTCGCGAACCTACCCGGCGTTTCGAATACGTCGCGGGACAGAGAAAAAAACGCGAGTGCCAGACGTGGCTGTCACAGAAGGAAGCAAGTTGTGATGCCACGGTAAAACGGGGGGACGGGCAACGGGAACGACCATCATGGAAGCTACCCTGCCCTCCGTGGTTTGGACGACCCTATTCCCATGTCCTACTCCTTCACCCACTCTTGTCGTTACTCGTTACCCCCACCCCATGCGTCGTCCTCGCCCCCCCAAAAAACACAAGTCTTGCCGCTTGCCTGAGCAAGCTCTCGATCGGCCAGTCGCACACCAACGACCGACACCCATACCCTGCTTCTATTATAGTACGTACGTACGTACGTACGGCATAGATGTAGCACAACGTTCCGTCTTTTTGAGCCCGTTACCCATGGGGGAGCTACGGTATCGATCGCTTTATGCTGCTCGGGGAACCGTAGAAATACAAGATGGCCCATCATACAACACTATATATGCATACGATGGATTCATTGCTACTCTATCCCAGACTCTTGTCTCTGGAAGAGATTATTTATTTGTTGTGCCTGTTTGTAAGAAAAAACAAAAGTTTTACAAATAGTCACCAGTGCGTGTCCGTTTCCTGGGCGTCGCAGCCCTCCACCCAGCTCTTAACGAACAGGTCGTTCTGCTCCGTGACCGTGTCCATGGCCACCACGTCCTTGCACTTCCAGAACACCACTCGAACCTGGTTGGTCATTGATGGGGCCAGGGCGAGTGAAACAACAAACGACGAAATAACATGAGGGTGGGTCGGGGGGGGGGGGCAGGGATGGCCGTTGCCAATGGAGACACGTTACTCGCAACATGTTGTGATTCCGCGGGGCCCCCCCCCCCCCCCCCCCCGGAGGGACCGCCTGTCGGCTAGCTGTCGGGATGCGAACGGAACCACACTAAACACGCGCCTAAACACACCAATCACCACCTGCTACACCTACAACATACCAGACAGCATTTTCAAAAACCACAGACAAACCGCACCTATCTCTCTCAGCAATCGCAGCTAAATAACATCACCCCCAACGGGTGCTCTCGTTTTCTCGTAAATACTATTATGTAGTGTCCTCCGGTCGACCACGAGAAAAAAAAACTTTTTTGTCATGCACACCCACCCCGCATACAACATTCGTATACACCGGTGCCATGGCGCTCGTTTCGCTCACTCGAATGCATACCAAGCGCAACACAACACCTCCTTTTTTCCCCGCGTTTACAGTACCTCGAAGTCGCGGTTCGGAGGCAGCGAGACATCGTCCGGTGGGAAGGCTCTCGCATCCTCAGCGGACATGATGTCCAGCCAGCACCTCAGCTGCCCTTGCGGCGCCAGACTTTGAGTTTACCAACAAACATGAAACAAAAAAGAACGGGGGGGGGGCAACAACGACGTAATATTAGACCGGAACCAAGAGCATTAGCACAGGTTGCTCGTGGCAAGATACGAGGGGTGAGAGTAGAAGGTGGCGGGGATAGTCCTCAGCTATTTCTCGACAATGCTCAACAGTATGTAGTTTGGACACGATATCGTTTCTGGAACCAAGCCAAAGCGGGAGCGGGGGGGGGGGGGGGGGGGGGGGG